CGTGGTTCCAAGTTGCCGGCTGGGTTTGAACGACAATTGGATAATCAAGTAAGTACCAAGATATTTCTATTTTGACATGCAGACTTCACAGGCAAATTTAAATTGGCAACATGTATATGTTGTTTAGTTTAAAAACCCAGATTTTTTTTTTCTTTTTCTATATTAATATACAGATATGCATAACACATAATTGTTTACACTAGATGCTTTATTGTAAGAACAAAAGGTATAGAAAAAGGCAGTTGGAAAAGATTGAGGGAAAGACCATACTGCAAACCAAGAGATGCCAGAAGTTTCAGTAAATTGTACACCTTGGAATCCACAGACATGTCAAGAACTAGGTCTTTTTTCTTCATCTGTTTAATAGACCTTTAATTTTACGCAGCTGATAAGCAACCTGTCTCCTATGAATCATTCAGCATTGTTTTTTCAAGCCTTGAATATGGCTTGAATGTTTTCAAGCCTAAAACCCTTCAGTTATTTGTATACAATTAAAAAACACATAATAGGGAAACATTGAACTTTCTTCAATATTGATTTCATTATCAAAAGAATTTAATGAAGATAGTTCAAAATGAGAAATACTTCATTATCCAATTTGTATATATACCTTAACAACGTACTTTTGATTAAAAAATCATTTTCAATGATTACAGCTCTACTTAATGTTAATTTGCAACTGAACTGCCTACTATGATAAAAACTCGGCCTTTTCTCCTTCTTTATAATCTCTGAAAGTGGAATAAATCACAATAGTGAAAATAAAAAGTTCAGTATGAATGATCTATGAGCTAAAAGTCTTTCTAAAGAGAAGCTCAGAAAACAAAACCTTTCTATGAAGTATAGACTGCGCAGCATAGTATACGTTTTGAAACATTAGGTTGCTTATTTTAAAATACTTATAAAATTTATGAGGAATTTCAAAGGATTCTAATGACACATCGATATCTCCCCCTTATTCAGAATGTTATTTTACCATTAATTTCTAAGATAAATTTGTATAACATTCTCCAAAATAGATGCATTTATCATGCCAAATATCAGAAAGACAATACTTTCTGTAATCCTGCATTTTTCCAGACCCTAGATTTTATAGTGCCACACGCTTAATAATAGCACAATTTATGTCCGTGAATGGTTTTTCTAAAGTAATCCATTCAGTACCAATAGCAGAGCCAAATGTGGAGAAAGTACATCCAGTTCTATAGTATGTCAGGGCTGGTTATTTTATTGATACTCCTTTCCATAGAAACATTTTGTTACTCACTTCTGCTATGTAGATGAACAAAACAGTTCATTTTTTCACCTGTTTGAAACCGTATGTCAGGGAGAAGCAAGGGCAGGCTACTTGGAAAGAAAAGTGGAGGTGGGAGCCAAGAGTCACAGCAGGGTAGGCAGGGCCAGGCTCTCTCTGACAAGGGCACAGTCCCACAGCACCTGAACAAAAAGGGAGAGCAGGTCCATGACAGCAGCCAGGGCCAGCTCGCATATCGGTGACAGCCAGATGGGACTATAATAACAAGGCAGATCTGAGGGCATGCCAGAAAGTTTAGTCAGCAAGGCAGAGCCTGAACTGGTGAGGGTAACCAGAATGGGCCACAGATCAGTGATTGTCAGGGAAGTCTGCAGTATTGAGACAGGTCCAATTCCAGCTGCATCAAGTTGTCTCCCAGCCCAGGCAGCAGGATCCCTAGGGGAGCAAAGTTGTGCACTCTGGCTGTCAACATGAATCTGCATGTCAAAAGAGCTTTTCATTGAACTTTTCCTTGCCTCATCAGTCCATCCTGCTGGTGGTTTTGCAGACAGCTGATGAGCCAATGCCAAATCTCTTAAGAAGCAGAGCTAGTGGAACAGAAATAAGAGTTGCTGCTAACATCAATTGCTTCACTGATCTAACAGTCTTTGGCATAACTAGGATCACCAGTGTGTATTTGTTTGGAGGACTACCCCTTTCCACACCACCATCATAGAAAAATCACACTTTGGAAAAAAATGTGCACAGTTCATCCACTGAGAATTACCACAGGGTTTGACACCTCCATTGCATCTACAGCAATAATGGTAGAACAAATCCACTGTTTCAAAGGTAGCATTTGAAGTTTACGTGGCTTGAAAATTCTCAGTGTGAATGACTTGCACAAGGATGGAGTATGTGCATCTTCTTCAGAGACAAAGGTCCTGGTGAAAGACACAAGTCCACAGCAATTCAGAACTTCATTGAGCATCTGGAGGATCTCCTGGAAGTCTGTGCATGGTGCTCCAAGGTCCAGTAAAGAACAATTCAGCCCTCCAATTATACATTTATTTATTGCCATGACTACATTAAAAAATATTTCCTAAAGGAGATTTTCATACATTTCATTAGTTTCACTGCAAGTCATTTAAAGAAAAAAAAAGAAAAAAAAAAGAATAATTCCAAAATGAAAGGATAGTGGAAAAACCTCTGCATCTAGAGTTTCAAACAGAATCAATGTTCTACAGAGTTTCATAGCTGGTTTGACTGTAGAAATGAACACTGAAGTCTCTGCTAAAATACAATTTTTTTGTCTTCTTTTTTTTTTTTTTTTCTTGAATATTAGCTTTAGGGAAGAGATATATTAATTATGTTTATTTAAGAAACTAATTAATGCACCCTTCAAATTCCATTTATTGGTTTGACATAAAATTGAAACCAGCTTCTCCATTGTAACATTTATGCATGGAAAAAGGCACCAGATCTATTGGCTCTTTCTGCTTCCTCTTCTGCAGTACCTGTTACTGTGAATGACTAGTGGACCTCTAAGATACGTGATTTACTGGACTCAGCAACAAAAATGCCCTGGCTTTTTGATGATTAAGTATATGTGCTTGATGTGTGAAGCCAATAGTGTTCAACTAAATGGAGCTGCTAAAATTTCTTCCTTAAGATGGGTTTCTACATGAAGTTTCCTATCAAGCTGACACACCAAAAAGACTGCAGCACTGAAATCATAACATTGCAAAATTAGAGCAGAAACAAAACTAAAACTAATATCATGGAACCAGTAACCTTGACGAATCTGATGTACTAGCACATGAAAAACTATGCAAGCGTTCCTACTGAACATTTTCTTCCTATCCATTCAATATTTATAAGTCATGAGCCAGATAGAATGGAATTCTGGCAGCTGTCAAGTATTTGTTTTCCTATGTGACACCATGAAACTGTTTTCCAAATGGTGAAAGAGATGTCATATTTTTCCAGTCTCATCTTTCTTATTTAGACAGCAAGCAAACTAGAAGCTATCAGCTAGGACATAAATCTTAGGACATTTTGTCTTAAGAGTTATTAACTAACATGGATGAGCAACTGGGCTCAGCTTTCCACAGATACGCACACACACGCGCACACACAAAAGAAAAGCTTTTCATTTAGCTACTTGAAGGTAAACCCTGATACAAGAATATTTACTGCTGAACAGTAACAACATTCAAGTCAATGAATCTTTATTCAAGATAAAATTAAGCACACAATAGTGAACACCAAATATTTGTCATGATTTTTGAGAACATCGAAGGTAACACTTGAATCTTATTCACCGAACTTGGTATCACTGTAAGATTTAGCATTCATAAGCCTATTATAGAGGTTTATTGAGAACAGTTTTCTAAAAATACCATGATGGAGTCTATGCCTTAGAAAATATATTTTTAGAAGTGATCCAGTGTACAGCTAACTACATATTGATGTTTATGTTTGAAAACAGAAAAGAACCCTTAGAAAACTTTTTTTTTACATTACTTGACATCACACAGAAGTGCTACTCCACGCAGTACCCAGTGCTCTGGAGGCTGAAGGGTTTTAAGATCCATGGCAGCAATGTAATTCATATCTGTTCTAATGGTCTTTTTGTAGACAGGACATGAATAAAGACGTGGATCTTTTGAAGCTAGAAAGACAGAAGAGACATAAAACCCAATGAAATTAGGTTGAAAAACCAGGGTGAGTCCTAACAGACTGGGCATAAGGCAAATGTAAAAATTGAAGTTTAATAGCACACATTAGCTCTCCATTACCAACAAAGAAAACTCTTACATGATTCTCACACTGTTCGCTACTGTCATTGACAGTTGAAGGCCGCATATGGATTGAAATTCCTGTAGGTTTAAGATTAATGTAAATGGACACTCTAATGCGTTAGCATTATCATTAGTTCAATCTGCTCACTGAATGCTACTTATTAATGGTATACTATTGTGTCAAAATAAAAAATGCCCAATTTTGAACCACCTCTTTTGAAATGTGTTTAGTATTTCAGAGTATAGTCAACTTCTTCACTATAGAATTAGAACAGTAGTCTAGTAACACTTAATACTTCAGTGAATATTCATTATTTAGCATCTTGGTGGCTTTCACAGCGATCGTGCCTCTTACAAAAGATCAGCTACACAAAACAGCATGTAAGCAGGCTTTGCTTTTGGAGGTGGAATGCTTTTCAACAGAAGTTTCCAATTTTACATTCAACAGTGGATAGCCGTATCCTATTTTATGTCCCCATTCAACAGCATTTCCTATTTTATATGCAACCCCCCACCATTAACGTAAGTTATACATTTCCACAAAAATCCCTGCCCTTCAGCCCCATAAATTTCCTTTCCATTCTTACAGTCCTTTTCTGCCTCAGAAACAAAACTTCTTCCACCACCTCACTCTACCTCTTGCTTGCTTCTGTTAGCTCAAAAATAGACTTGTCCATAAAAAAATGCATATTTATAATTACAAGTTACATATACACATTATCTATAAATACCTAATACAAGATCTACATGGTTTTTATACATATATGTTGCATATACATACTTATATAAATTTTTATATATATAAATTACAATGGTTTTTAGCATGTGAGAAATAAGTTATTTGGGTTTAACTTACACAGTCTACAGGGTCCCTGCCCATGGCAGGGGAATTGCAAGTAGATGATCTTTAAGGTCGCTTCTGACCCAAACCATTCCATGATTCTCTGATAAAAAGATTACAGAATCTACGTATACAAATGTTGATCTTCTCAATCTAGGACACATTGTGATGGAAGATTGAATGCAAACATGTTTTTTTTCGGAGGTGGCAGAGAACAGCTCATATGTAATGGATTTAAAAAGTTATTAACACCATTAAGACCAGAAGATAGAGATGTTTCTAAATAACAGGGGAAAAAAAATGTCTATTACCAAGGAAGGTTGAAAGCTTATTTTATATGGAAGACTCGTAAGTCTCCCCCATTGAAAAAGATTCAGTATGTATACAATGATCAGCAACAGCCTCAAAAATCCCTAAAGCCTGAAAGTGTTCCATGCAGTTGAATAAGAAGTTGCATTAGATTCTATCAAAATAATGTCCTTTACAATACAGTTACTTACTGTTATTCTCTGCATATATCCTTATAACTGGCATCATCTCAAAGAGCACCTTGGGCTTTGATTCAGTCAGTCTCATATTTCTTCTGTCCCAACCAGCTCCTTCCAAATACAGCCCATACACGTAGACACCTTCTGAAGGAGGACTTGTGATATCATCCTTCATCCATTTAGTGACCTCATTGCACAACACTACACTGTCAAGAGCCCATCCTTTGTTAGCTCTTGTTATTTCCTGCCCAAAATGAATGGAAGTATTGAGGTTACATTTTTAAATGAGCCATTTTCCCCCCAGCATTTCTTAGGAAAAAAAAAATACCACCACACACACACACAAAAAAAAAAAAAAAACCAAAAAAAAACCCCACACAAAAAAACCCCAAAAAACTAAACTTCTTACGTAATCCCTGTTTACAGCAGTTTGACTTCTGTATAAGCTTTTGATGGTATAGTACTACAAGAAGATTTTCAGTATTTTATCCACTATATTTTATTTTCAATCTTTCTTTTATACGCAGTATCTTAAGACCATACCAGGCAATGCAAGCTCTGAATGCCAGTGGTAACTGGCTCTTGCAAATATGAAAATTTCAGTTTTCATGAGATGAGAAAACATTAACTGGATGTGCTAAGTAAAACAGCTCTAGTGACAAAACCAAAATGCTTAATTTTCTTGGTTCTTTTCTTGCATATTTTCTTGGGTTACATTCCTTTTCTTGTACATATACTTTCATTAACTTTATCCTTAACAATGAATAAGAGCTCACTCAGCTCCAAAGCTACATAAAGAGACTGAAAAAAACCCAGAGAACACTTCAAGATAGACATGCTTAAGATTCAACATACATTTCAAATTTAGTCAGTTAGTGCACTGGACAACACTCCTTTATCTTGCCCAATCCCTTGCTATCCCATGTCATTAAGTTCTGCCAGACCTGACTGTTATCCCAGTCTTGCAAATGTTTTCCAAGGTCTTTATTTGAAGTAATTTGAATTAATATTTTTCCCCTACTGCACTTAATTAGCTGCTTTAAAAGATCAGGAGGGTTACAGTTCAATGATCATTCTCATTTCTTTTTAGTCCACCATGTATCAAAATCCCAGAAAGTCACTTTGGTTTTACTTGGGACATTACACTATTATGTACCCACATTCTTTTTTCAGGGAACCAGAAAATTCTTCAAGTTCCAACTGTTTCAGATCCTGCTGCTAAACCATTTCTACAAGCTTAGGTCCAAAAGAAAATTCCAGTTTAAGACTGTGAGCTTGAAAGATTTCACTATGTTATTCCAAGGCTATATGCCTGCAATTTTAGTAAGTCACCAATTAGAACTTCAGTTTGACAAAGATTACACTACCTAGAACTCAGATCAAGAGGAGAGATTTTCCTTCTCTGTAAATCTTGATTCTCTCGTTGAAAAGTTAGCTTTTTCTGAGGTCCCTCCTGAATATTGTTTCCCAATTTTACACATTCCAGACAAGTGTGTCCAATGTCCCTCTATGCTGACCAACATAATTATTTATTGCCTCCTTTTAAAATAAAAATTAGCTCACTTATCAAATGCAACTAGCATGCTGAGCAACGAACACAATCACCGATTCAACAGAGACATACATTAACAAATACATCGAACTTTATACTTAGCACGTATTAATAAAGGAAACTCCCACTTCATGAAGAGACACTGAATCAGCTACTGAACTGCAGAAGTGTAATTTAAGACTAATTCTGAATAGCTGCCCTGGCAAGTCTCCAGCCAGACAAATATTGGACACAGAACAATAGGGAGAGAAAAAAAGGAAATAAATTTGTGAGTTTAGCACCTCTTCTCAGGAATATCTCAATGGTAACATTAGACATCACTTCTTCAGTCTATCTTAATAATGTTGTAAGGTAGCCCATAATACACAAAGCTTGGTCAAAGTAGGAAATACATTTTAATATATTGGTCATTGATACATGGAAAAAAATATGGATAGAGGAAAACCACTCAGGAAATATTAGACAGTTACGCAGTCTAATATCCTTCCGTCTGACATGATGGAGACATGTATAACAGCCTTTATCACAATATTTATTTTTCTTTTTTAAAGTATATCAGTGAATAAGCAGAGTGAGACTTTAAACACAATTTACCTGTCTCATTGCAGTTAAAAATCCTTGAGGATTAAAAAATCCCGTCATCCAGAAGCAGTTTGGTCGGCTTTCAAAAATCCACTTGTAAAACTGGTGGTTTCTTTCTAGAAGCTCAGTAAACCAGAAACCAAGAGTACTGGAAGCCCAAGATGCCTAAAAATAGTAAACAGGATATTCATTTTTTAGTTTTATTCAGAAGTTTCAAAGCATCAGATTCATTTTAAGAAAAAGTAATTCTTCACAAGGTAGTAAACATTAATCTTAGCAAAATATATTTAAAGTTAATTTTCATATCTTCACTTTTAAACAGACAAATGTTGCATTCCACTGAAACCTTTGTTCAAATTCATGCCTACCATTCCATTTAGACATGCTTAATGCTTCATGTGGTAATTGTCCATTTAATGATGTTTTTACAAAATTAGATATCTGTGTAAACTAGGAAGAAAAATTATATACACATCCTTCTAAAGCCAAGGTCAATGCATCAAGATAACAGGCTTTCTGCCAAAATTATTTTGCTTTTTCTGGAAAAATTAGGTAAGGAAAATTGAGCTTAGACTATGTGAAAGTTTATGATTATTTTTCTCTTTGAATAGTTGTATCACGCTTGTTCTGTGAAGCATCTGCCTTGGTCTAGGATTTTGTACCATTTTATTTTGTCAATAAAAACAAAACAAACGAACACCAAAAAACCTTCCCCATTTTTCTTTTGACCAGTTGATCTAGTTGTTCCTGAATACAATTTCCACGGGGAGAGGCTGAGAGAGCTGGAGAAGAGAAGGCTCGGAGGAGATATTATCAATGTTTGTACCCCATGTGTGGAGACTTGAAGAAGATGGAGCCAGACCCTTTTCAGTGATAGGAGAAGAAACAATGGACACAAGATGAAATGTGCTAATTTAATTTAAATTAAGTTTTTTGGTTGGTTGGTCGGTAGTTGTTCGGGTTTGGTTTAGTTTTCTTTTTTTACTGTGGGGGTGTCAAATACTGGTACAGGTTTCTCAGACAGGTCATGGATCCTTGATTCTGAAGAATCCTGGAAAACCTGGTTTAAGTGACCCTGCTTTCAGAAGTGGGGTTAAACTACACTGTCTTCAGAGGTCCTTTTCAGCCTCTACTGCTTTCTGATTGCACAACTACAGGGCTTAATCTGAAAGAATAGTAACAGTGTAGTTCTCCAGTGTGGGTGCTATTTTTCAAAATCCATCATCACATTTTAAATTATTGTCTATTCTCTAGTTTTTTTGTCCTGTCAATATGCAACAAGCTGTCAAAATGGGAAATACCTGCATTTCCCACATTCATTTCCATTTTTATAAACGAGAGAGGGCTTGTTTTGGCTGTATTTATTTTAGCCCCAAATCTATTCCAGCAGTTGCACAGTCCTGGATAACACTTGTGTTTGAAAAAAGTATTTACTGTGTGCCAAGTAATTTAATCTAGCTCAACAGATTTGTTTTGCAAGGAAAAAAAAAAGTGATATACACCTACTTTTTTCCAGCTAGCAGGAACCCTTCCATCATACATACAATCTAAAGCATCCCTCAGATTTTCACTCATAACAATTGTCCCATCAATTGCAAGTTTTAGATCATTCATAGTGCTTCTCACTAAGGTAATAACTCTCTGCATTTGTTGAATCTCCTGTCGCAAAAATATGTTCATAGGCTGAAATGGTCCCATGTTCTTTAGTTTCTCTTTTACCTGCAGGTAAAAAAACAAAGATCCTTCAAAAGAAGTAAAAGACAAAGGTGGCTTTATGCCAAGGTTAGGCCCCAGTACAACTTTTAAGTCATAATACTTTTATTTAGGAAGTTAAATGGTCAGTTTGGCACCTTCCTTGAATCCTCTGCGAGATAGTTTTTTTCCAGGAGAAATCTGTGATGCTGAGATTGGCTTACAATTTAGAATGTATATCTTTCTGTGAGCTAACATTGTTTAAACAGCATGTAGGCCTATACCCCATTTCAAGGATTTCAGCTTTAATTCCAACAGACAGTTCCCAAGGTTCATTTTGCACAAACCAATCAAGAGCAATTGCCCCAGCCACTTCGCCTCAGCATAGTAGTGCTATTTATCAGCAATGCCTGCGAACTATCACAATGCCAGGCAGTCTCGTATTCTAATAAAACTTGCTAATATATTTTTAATTAAATGTGTAAAGTTAACAAATTAACAACAATTGTATGGACATAACTAGAATTTTTGTAGTCAATATGGTCTTATTGGGAAACAGGTGAAAATATTATATGTAACATATATTGAATCCTATACAGGGTAACAGCCTTTTTCTTAGTTATGTGCATAAGCTAAATTTATCAGTATTTTGCTGATACTGAATAAAAGGACTTTAAATAGTTATCACCATGTGAAAAACATTCGTGCTCCTCATTCACTTTTGTTAATATAAACTAAATTTCAATTTTTCATTTCTGATCAGAGGTGATCTGGCCAAAAATAGCTCTTGTAAATTTATCTGACCTGTTCAGATAAAATATTTGTCATTATTAATGCCTTTGAGGGAAAGAAGATTACATAATACAAAATGGGATACAGAAAACATAAAATAATAGATGTGAGACAGAGGTACCTGAAGAGAGGCTATAGTCATGAACATATCACGCATAAGGGAAACTTACTACTGTGTAATAACAGAAAAGAGGGTGTTTGATTGTACAAGTCACCTTTCTCCTTCTCATAGCTCAGCATCCTGACAGAAGTTTGGCATTTATAAGCCAAATTTAGCCTAACCCTTGCAAAAAGGTCCTCATGCTAACTTCCGTTAAAGATTAAGTGTCAGAAGGCTAAGGATAAGAGATTTCACTCTCCTCCAAAGGAGATGGTAGGCAAATTATCTAATTAGTACTACATCTTACTGCCTAGATGAGCAGACTAAGAATCTGTTAAAATACAAACACAGGTGTGAACTTTTTCCTAACGACTCACTAGGGTGATTCACATGCATTTCCTAACAAAAGTGTTGTAAATGCTTTATTACTGACATAACTAATCTTACTTACTTTTAAGCTTTTGCAAATATAATGAAACACAGCAGTTCAGCATCTCCTGATACAGAAAATATAGGAACCTTAACTAATTTAAAAGCATTTTCTTCTCATTTATTTGAAACTCACAACCAGCCTCACCTGGGAAGAACTATAATCATAGAATCATAGAATACTTAGGGATGGAAAGGACCTTAAGATCATCTAGTTCCAACCCCCTTGCCATGGGCAGGGACACCACACACTAAACTATGTCTCCCAAGGCTCTGTCCAACCTGGCCTTGAACTCTGCCAGGGTTGGAGCATTCACAACTACCTTGGGCAACCCATTCCAGTGCCTCACCACTCTCACTGTGAAGAACTTCTTCCTTATATCTAACCTAAATTTCCCCTGTTTAAGTTTAAAGCTATTACCTCTTGTCCTACCACTAGAGTCCTTAGCGAAGAGTCCCTCCCCAGCATCCTTGTAGGCCACCTTCAGATATTGGAAGGCTGCTATGAGGTCTCCACGCAGCCTTCTCTTCTCCAGGCTGAACAGCCCCAACTTCCTCAGCCTGTCTTCATAAAGGAGATGCTCCAGCCCTTTTATCACCCTCGTTGCCCTCCTCTGGACTTGCTCCAATAGCTCCATGTCCTTTTTATGTTGAGGACACCAGAACTGTACACAATACTCCAAGTGAGGTCTCACAAGAGCAGAGTAGAGGGGCAGGACCACCTCCTTTGACCTGCTGGTCATGCTTCTTTTGATACAGCCCAGGATATGGTTGGCTTTCTGGGCTGCAAGTGCACACTGCCTGCTCATGTCAAGCTTCTCATCAATCACCACCCCCAAGTCCTCCACAGGGCTGCTTTGAATGTCTTCTCTGCCCAGCCTGTAGCTGTGCCTGGGGTTATGCTGACCCAGGTGTAGGACCTTGCACTTGGCTTGGTTAAACTTCATGAGGTTGGCATTGGCCCACCTCACAAGCATGTCAAGGTCCCTCTGGATGCCATCCCTTCCCTCAGTGTATCAACCAAACCACACAGCTTGGTGTCGTCGGCAAACTTGCTGAAGGCACGCTCAATCCCACTGTCCATGTCACCGACAAAGATATTGAACAAGACAGGTCCCAACACCGATCCCTGAGGGACACCACTCGTTAGTGGTCTCCAACTGGACATTGAGCTGTTTACTGCAACTCTTTGCGTGTGGCAAATAATGTCAGCATCCTAAAAATTCTGGGGCTCTAAAGGACAATTAAGAATTGTGGAAAGATCCAGAAACACCACAAATTGCCCAGACACTCAAATTGTAGTCTTCAGAATGAGGTTACAGAATAGAGTCGACTGGAGTGTTCATGTATCTAGCCATCAGTAAATGTTTTCTAACTGTAAGAAAAAGCTCTCACCTTGAGACACATTCTATCTTCAACACAAACAGAAGGAAAGTTGCTCTTTCAGACAAGAAACGGCTGCAAGGCAGCACGTGTCCATTAATTACATAGGCTGTTATGTGTTAATATGGATCCTGAGACACTAACACTAGGCTTCAATCAATGAAACCTATCACTTGACAAGCTTTTCAGCATTCAAGTCACTGACAAAGAAAGCAACCTAAAAATATCTTCAGGATATAACCAGAATCCCAAACTAATACACATGTTAAAGCTGTAATACTTTTAGAAGCACGAATACATTTGCAACACGACCTCAGTTCTCTACTGTGTCAACAACCTCAGTTAAAAGCTGATGATCCTACCTCCCCCACAGTGCAAATGACAACTTAAGCATTAAGTGGTTTAATATTTTGAAAAAGCTCTTACAGAAGCACTTGAGTGCACATTTAGTGACTTCATCATAAATGTTAAGAGTCTGGTCAGACTTCTCCAAAATGTGTTTTTGAAGCACTGCCAGTATAAATGGATTCATACATGCTTTTAGAAAAATAATAGTTACTTTCTTTTTTTTTTTAATCCACACAAAGAAAGATGGAGCAAATGTTTTTGACAGAATTTCATTAACTCACTTCAAATGGTACATAATCAGCTGGAAGCTTTTCTAACACATCATCAGCCAGTCTGGCGACAACTGCCTCTCGGGTTTCACCTCCTCCACCAGAGCTATCTTTAGGCTGAATGCTGAGGATGATGTCCAATACATCCTTGGAAAGTTTAGTTTGGTAAGTAATATCCGCATTGGGGTGCAAACCGAACACCTCTGGTGTGTCATAAGCAGGAAGACTCTACACAGTAAAATATAAAAAGAGCACAACTGGAGATAGACTTATAAGCTAATTATTAAAAAATAAAAAAAAAATCACACACAAACCCCAAACAAACAAAAAACAAACAACACAAAGCTGAACAACATGAACAGAAAACACATTGTTAAGTAAGACACTAGATCTCTTCAGTCTTAGGGCAAATAACTTGCTGCAATCTATTTGTCATATGGCAGCCCAAATTACAGCAAGATGAACAACAAATTCAATTTTAATCTCTATACACTGTTTTAGTAGTCAGCTTGTACTTTCATATATTTACATCTTTTATTTCATGTGTACCCAATGTCTAGAGTCCATTCTTTGCCCTCTTTAACAAGTGTATGCCTTCAGCTATGTCCCTCAAGCAAATCACATGATAAAGAAAAGATTCCTGTCATGACAATGATAACATTGATGGCAACAATAAGGTGTCACTAATAGATACATTAACTATTAAAAAACAATAAAGAGTTTGTTAATAAATGACAAAATACAGATACTCAGAAGAAAAGTCAAAATACAAAGACTCAGGAACTTGTAAGATTCAAATGAATTGTTGACAAAGGGGGGGTTGTGTTGAAAAGTTTTCATTCACCAACCTGTATGTACTGAAGGTATTGATCCACCATAGCACATTTAGGTATGTTGTACCCTTTGTAGAAGCTGAATTCCTGACTGAATGTGTTTTCACTGAACCAAACCTTTACAAAGGTATTCATGAGTCTTTTGTCATAGTCATCTGTCACACGGCCACCATACTGGATCTCACCTATCATGTAACAAACGGTACTCCAGGAGATCCCCTAAAAGCAAGCAGAAAGCATTGACTTTAACTAATCCTCCTCTCACCTATTTACTCTGTAGTAAGAACTCTCTGTTAGTAAGAACAGCTTTCATACCAAGGCCTGCATCTCTGTCCCTTTTGGAAGAAAGTTATTTTCTTGCTACCCTTTTTTCCTATAACCCTCAACTCCCAAAGCATTTCTCAAAATAGAATTCTTTGACAACTAATACAGGAGGCTATTCTGGCGTTTGGGCAAGAGGGATACAGCTACAGCCCAATCACACTTTCAACTTCACTTAAAATGCCAATCACAAAGTGATCTCCCACAGACCTCTAAATGACAACTGACCATATGACAGTGAGGAATGTAGGAGGGACTCTTACACAATCATTTAAAGCTACTTTCTATTTCTTTGTGCTGCCAAGATAGGTTGGAGGAGCCAAATACTATTTTTACTCAGATTTAAACACAAGTATTTTAAATACAGTGGTCCATTTTAAATATTTGGCTGAATTAGTATTGAAAAGAAGGTCTCTACTTCGAAGATTTATACTTCTGATGTTTTCAGGGGCAATGTGTGGGAGGGATTTTTTTTAAATGTACAAGTTAACATAGAAATTTGACATGCACAAGATCAAAAGTCTAATTTAAACGTGCTGTTCTACAGACATGTACACTTCAAATGTCAAATGTTTGTGGAAAGAAACAAAAGACTAATTTAAAATCTTGGTTGTGTTTCAGTTTTTTGGAACCATGTATATACATTCTACTACTAGAAAGGTCCATCACCTTAATACACCTTCCCCACAAAAACGTTAATTACCTTCTTGGCATCTGTACCATCCAAGTGATTTTGAATGAATTGCACAGTAGCATTGAAATCAGCTTGATTAAACTCATAGGGTATATTCCAACCCAGAGATCCAAACTTGCGTCTTTCTTGAACAGTGGAGTGTAGAAAGGCTACAGCATACAACATTGGTTTCCATTGTACCATGTCACTGACATCTAGTAAATCCTGGCTGACACCTATTGATTGTAAGTGGGTTTTATAAGAAACACAATAAAAGTACTTTTCAAAACTACTTCAAATCAGTGCTAAAGATACTCAGTTGGCTCTCTACTTCTCCCAAAAGAAAACTATTGTCCTACAAATTGTTCTATGCTGAAGAAAGTTTATAGCATGTGATTAAATCTCTCAAATTAAAAGAGTAAACTTTAAAGGAAAACAAAAACAAACCCAGAAAATGTTTAGCGATAGTTGAATTCACATGAAATTGGTTTTTGCACAGATGCTTTAACCTTTATTTTATACAATGCAAAGAGTGCTTAACAGCCAGAAAAGATTAATATGTAGTTTTTCTGCCAAAAGGAACAAGAAGATTAAAAATGTAAACACTTTGAACTGAGATATGAGAAGCCAACACTTCAGAAAAGAAAAAGTATTTCCTGTTTTACTGTCCGGTTAGTTCTGGCAACAGACCTTCATCAGATCTTCTCTTCCTTTTAATTTTCAAAACTTCTAACTCAAACCAAGGATCAGGAGGTGTTCTGGCATCGTTGTGATCAGTTCCTCATACTAGCTTACAACTACTGCCAGTGGCTACAACATGACCACACATTAACACCAGAGAGTCCAAATATGAGAAAATTGAAATTCAAATTATTACCACTGCAGCACTCACCACTGTATGTTCTCTTTAGTCCAGCTCTGAGCCCTTGTGGTGGTTCATTGGTAAACTTAATAGACATTTGAAGAAGGGTGATGGGGAACTGTTTATGAATGTCAGTTGTCATCCACAGTCGAAAGCTTTCATGGACAGTCTCTGTCTCTATCACAGTGTCCATCAACTCATCCAAAAAGTCTAGTCCAAGGTGGCAATTTTGTAGAAGTGCCCAACCTCCCTAGTTTAAAACAACAGAATATGAAATCATCAACGTTGTTTATAAGCCAAAATTACTAAAAATCACTCTGTTTATGTTGTAGGTTAGGAACAAAACAGATGCATCTAATATACAGCAAAATACAGCATGTTTAAGTGCTTATCAGAGCTGCTAAAGGAAAAAATCATCCACGGTCAATTTTACACCACTAGCTCACCAAATCAAAAACAAGGCCTTAGTACTCTGCTTTCATGTACATTTCATGTACAAACAGGGACCAGTATCCATCATAATGGTACACATGCAAATAAAAAAGTATTTTTTCTCCAAAGAAAGCTTATGTGAGCTAAGATGTGGGCTGTTCGTTCTGGAGGTGTTGTTAGTTTGTTTGGTTTTATCATTTAAACAAAAGGTCTTTACTTATCCCACCTGGTCTTCTCAAGAAGACCTTTGCTATTTCAGTACATTCAAAACATGTCTGGACATGACTTTAGTGCTGATAAACACTGGTAAATCTTGACTTATATAAGGAAGCTCAGAAGTAGCTCTATACAGCACTCTGCTAAACCTTGTTCCTCACAAGGGTCACAGGCTTGGACAATAACCAAATATATATACTTAATTAATGTATTGCTATTGATTAATAGATATCAAACTTTCTCATACGAATTATCATACTTCACATAGACATCTCTCATACCTCTTCATTAAGAGGGTATGTGAGACAATGAAGGAAAGTACTGCATTTCTCCTAACAAAAGGAGCTCTTCTTCCCTTATCTTTTGAATTACTTCACATATGAGCTGCTAATTAGCTTTTAATGTGAAGTTGCCAAACGAGAATCTGAGGCACAAGTCAGAGGAAAACTGGTTATACAGAGAGGGAAGAAGCTCATAACATGGGAGTGCAAGTTTAATCTCTTCACATCAGCAGGCACAGCAGTACTACCACCTGATGGGCAAAACTAAATTAGAACATCTCAGTTTTTATCCTCATACAGGAAATTTTATTCTTTAATTCTTGCTTGTTTCACCTGTAACATGCCTGTGCTATCAGATTGTCCATTGCAACTTAAAATCCAGACTAGAGAAATACAAAATATTTTGCTATACAGTCTTGTTTTTCTCAAGGTTATGTAACTATCAATAGTATATTGAGAATTAATCTTCTTTGACAAAATATGTTTCTATTACTAAAAGTACAAAACAAAAAAAAGTTGTGAAATACTTGCTGAAGAATATTTAAAATCCATTTAATCCAAGCAATTCAGCTATTTTCATCAGTTAACAAGCTAGAACAAAAATTCCATTTTATATGAAAAACACTATTGTCTGCACAGTATCAAAAAGCTTGTTATAGTCAATTAAATGAATATGAAAAGACAGTTCTATTGCTTAGGACATTTACTTACACAAATTAGTACAGCATTAACTACCCACCAAACTACTATATTTCATAACAGGAATTTCATTCCTAAGTGTTTAATACAGATACATAAAACATCCAGATTTTTGTTCCTTACATGAGCCATTGTCTGCTGTAGAAGTTTACGAGCATGAATTTCTTGCCCCTGTCCCATGGAAACATAACGTGTTTCTATCTTCAGTCTTTTTCCCAAGGCAATAATTGAGTCCGTAGGATCAGAGCCCATGGATAGAAAGCATATGAGAGGAGTACGTGGATCTGACTCTTCCCATGTTTTCTCCAAGTCCAAGATGACTCCCTCTGCATATTTCTCCCCCATAGTGTCAATGATATATTTTCTTGCCTATGTTAAAAAGGATAAATTTAAACTGTGATGTAATCATTTAATACTGTTTTCTTCCCAGTGTAAATACAACCAATAAGTAAACTGACAGCTGCTATAAATTTATATCAGAAATACAAATATGCGACAAATTTATTTTAACATATACTGAAGGCGTGATTTTGTACAGCCTTATAAGACCAGTTAAAACTTCAAAAATAATTAGTCTATTAAATATATCTGGATGCATTGTTATATATAATACCTATAATTACAGTATAATAAAAATAATAACCTTACTAAACCTTCTGAAAGGTTTTAATGATTTAAAGATCATATCTCCACTAGGTAGCAAAACTTCTAACCATAAAAATGTAGCTTCCCTTTCCAAATATTAAAGAAAAAAGGAGGAAAGGATGGAAGATATGCTTCAAAGGTCTTTCCCACCTTCATGCTTAAACAAAAAATGAAAAGACAGTAGTAATGATGAAAATAACCGCCACTAAGTAGAAGATTGAGAGGAACATACAGAAGCCACCTCTGTCATTCCTTATGTATTTCAAAAATTGTTATTGTTCCTTTTAACTGAGAAATAGAAAAGGCTCTTTCAAACAGTCTGAGATTATATTTCTTGTACTGTTTCCCATTATATTGTTTTTGTCTTAGACCTATCTTCCCACTAATACCTCTGGGTTACTTCTCAGAGACAGAAGATATTCAGCAGTTGGCATTTGATAAAATCAGTTTTCATAAAACCATCATATCTTGCCCCCATTAACAGAACTGAGAAACTAATTTTGCATGATCCATTTCAGACACATAGCACACATCTGAGAAATACATCATACAGTACCATTTAACCTTCTATTGACTACAGTTACACTGATAATAACCAAGACTTTCTCTGAATCCAGTCACAATATATAAAGGTTTGCATCTGTAAAATTAATACCACACTTTTAGTGATGCATTCTGACTGCAGTAAATTTCTAACCATTGCTCTGAAATTGTCAGAAATTGAACAATTTTTATTCTTTTGCACTGGAGAAGAACATTAAGATTAAAAATAGGCTTCTAGAAACTGATTTTTTCCCAAAAATAGACCTAAACATTTAATAAACTTTAATTTTATAATTCTGTCCTTTCTAAATAGATAGCTTTAAACTAAAAATTTTGAACAGAACTTAATACAGATTTTTAAAAATATTTTGCTTCAGCCTAACAGGAGGACACTTTTACAGTTTGAGTAATATCAGCAAGGACAGTAAAAAATAACTTCTGTACTGATAAAGCAGAACTGAATAAGCACATACATTTCCAAATGAAATCCTATCTCCCTACAAAAACAGTAGCTAATATTCATTCAGCATATTGGAATACTTTTGTTAACACTACCCTTGAAACAAATACATACATCGTTTGAAAAGAATTTCAGAAAATGTAATGTAAAGGTTCATTACAAAAAGGAGTTAAGGGGTTTAGCATTAAATAAAAAGTACTGAACTGCAATCCTGTAACTATTATTCTAATGACAACTTAATAGACTATGTTGGCTACATAAATTTACCTGAGCTATGGTCCTGTCAGGACACCAAGATCTGATAAGAAGAAGATGTCTGAAGCAGTCCAGGGATTCACCATAGCCACTAGGAACCAATTCTTCTTCAGGATTCTCACTGTCAAACCAGATTTTCCACTGTTTCTCTGCTCTGGAAATCTGCAGTTATACCAACAAATGAGTAAATCTCACTAAACAGTTGTTTAGCATTGTTAGAACACATATTTAGTAAGGCTATTAAAAAAAAGAGGATAAGCTGTGGGGATAAAGGCACAGACCCAGAGCATCTTCATGCAGTGAATCACTTTATTGCCTACTGCTCTAACTTTTTATACCATTCTAACAACAGTTATTTTTAGCCTATTGCTTTAGCTTTTATACCATTCTATTTGTAGCCTATCATGTTTAGTTCCTGACTTATAGTTTGGGTTTTAACACTGCTCGCTTTCTCACAACCAGTCCCAGAATAGCCAGTCTCTTATTTTTATGCTCTCTCCTCCTCAGCCAGGTGTCTTGGTATCTTATGCTCTCTCCTCCTCAGCCAGCTGGGTTGGTCTGCTTGATTGTGCTTTGTTTCTTCTTTAACTCTTTCTTCTCCAGCCAAGCAGTTACTTCTCTTTGGCAATAATCATGTAGTTTCCATTGTCTCCCACAATAAGCTTTCAGATTTTAAGTACAAAATTGTAGAATGCAACAATGCCCTTAAATATTCATATTCTGAAGAAAAAAAAAGTAGCTACTACTCTGTATTTTCCCTAAATTATATAATGGCATAACCAGCTAGGCTCAGACACAGCTTTGAGAACACTAGGTACCTATCTACTCCCCACACGACTGTACAGGAGGTACTCTTCACGTATAACAATTGCTATTTACTTAACCATTAACTACCATATACTTAATCTCCATTAAGAATATTCATACAAGTGTTGAATTTACTGAACACACTTTCCCTAACACTTATGCCATATAATCAGACAAATATGGGAACAAACATCATAAAACATAGTGTAAAAAAGTGCAGCACGGCTGGAAGACAGTCTAACAATTGGAAGAAGATTCAAGTTGCATTATGTGAACTGAGTAATAGCAAGATATAACCCAATTTGAAAGCATTATAATTCTATGCTGTGTGAAATGTTGTACTTTCTTCTTATTTTCAGACGGGAGGGAGAGAGGTGTTAAATTTTTTTATCAATTCAGGTTGCTAAGCAGTTGGGGCTACAGCTGTGGGTATCTGCTGTCAGTTTCATTCTGTTCTGTAAAATTAAGCGGTTTCCCACTACATGCCTTGACCATTACCAATCACTGTCAAGCGAGATTAATTTCAAAAAACTTTTACTTACTTGATCAAGAATATCTGAAAATTGTTTAAGCTTACTAAGCTCCACCAAGTTCAGCCAAGTCATATCCAGAATCCATTTAGCTGGCTTAGGAGGACAAGCTTTAAGGTCTAGAGAAGCGCCACCTGCATGAAATTGAGTATCTTGGTAACATAATATAAATTACTCCAAGCTTTCAAGTGAAGATACACAGTGCTTGCATGCAGTTAAGACTAAAGCCATGAACTTGTCACATTAACTGAGAATCTAATATTCTTCTAAACTGTTAACATCACTTTCCTGTTCCTTTTTGCTTGCTTGTCCTCCTGCAGTTACCAAATAAACTGTACTCAAAGCTGTATTTGTTAATATTCAGCTCACTGCTATAAATTAGAGCTACTATACAATGTTGTCTGTCACCAGAACAGAATAATAAATATGTATTCTTTCAATTGACTGGCTTCTCATCTGCAAAAGGAAGCAGCAAGTGGCTAGGAGGTAAAACTGCAGCTCACAAAATAATATATATCCTCTACTTAAAATTGCTCCATAGTTCCAACCTTTAACAAGTGTCAGAAATTCTTCATGTTTCACTCTGTTTCTTTGTATATCAATCTTCAGTGTAAGTAGTAATGTGAAAAGAAATTTGTGCTCCTCATAAAGTCCTCGGGCAGCGTATTTGAACACTTCATATGTCATATGTTCGATAATATTAGTAATCCTCTTGCTAGTTACAGGGCTTTTAGTAGACCTGTAGGAAGAAATGTCTGCAGTTGAATGTCACTATACATAGGTTTCGTTAAAGGGAACATTATGTAAAAGACCAAAAGACATAGCTTAGAACATTCAAAACATGAAAAAGAAATAGATTTCAAACACAGAATACCAGATAGCAAGCTAACAACAACTTTCACATTGAAGGAGCAACAAAAACAAATTCCTTTCCAATCAAGCCACCTGCATACCTGAAAATCAGCACAGTATAATGTTTTTTAACTATCTAATACCTAATTCTGAAGGACTGTAGGTACATTTAAAGGTTCTTTGCCTTGGTAACTAACAAAGGCTTATAGGTATTTAAACTGACAACTCGTGTCAAGATTGTAGCAAGCAGCACACTTCTTTCTGACATTAGAAACAAAACTTTGTCATGCTATAACCACCTCCAGGACTGAGTAAATAGAAAATCTACTTATTGTTAGCTAAATTACCTGGCTAGGGAGTGGTCAAAAAGCACCAAAAACTGACGAAGTGAAGTCTGGTACATCACATTGACCGTGCTCATCTCAGTAATAAGGAAGTACAAGATGCTACCTCGTGTTGCAACTGAAGGACAGGAAACAAGACTGTGTTCAAAGTAGAAATACAGAGCAGAAAAACTTTAACTCTTTACAAGTACAGTGAGTTTAACACTAGTACTAACTGAAGATACTTGAGTTTCTCCACTCTTTACCAGCCAGAAAAATAATTAATATATTTATTAATCCTCATTCATATATCAGAAGAAATAACAAATTAATGCATACTGTGTAAAGCCCAGATTACAAATATGAGCATATCTGGAGAGCATCTGGATGGTATATTGTAATATTCATTGCAGATCACCAGTAGAACTTACAAAAAGTAAGATAGTTTGAAGTACTGTTCGAGTATCCAAACAAATTTCTCTTTACAGAAGTCATTTAAAATTCAAATGAACTATATTGATTTAACTTAACCAGCACTGCTTTAATTTACTTTCAGCAGTCATTTAGCTTTAAATATGAAGGTTTTTTACAAAGTCTGCAGTGATTTTTGGTATGCTAATTGCCATTTTACACATTTTGTAGAATGCAGGTGTAACATTTTATTCCAGAAAGCATTTTTCTCTTCTTCAATTTTTTCACATTTTCACTTGTCAGTTAAAAGCCACAAGACTAGTGAAATGTGCTGTCTATAATAATTTAAGGATCTATGACAGAATAAACAAATCATTCATCCAGATGCAAAAAGCATTTACAATTATACTGACACCTAAAGGAATGTCAGCATGAGAGCAATGGGAAGTCTAGAGAGACAACAAGAAATTCCATTTTATAAATTCCACATGAAACATAATATTGACTATTTTCTCCACTGTAGCTCAATATGCCATTTGCTAGATACATTTTACTTACAGGAAAACACAAATCCTTCACACTTATTACGGTCTTCCTGATCACATCTTACTATTTCTCCTGCTCTAAGTATCGCTGTTGTAACTGTATGCTCCAGTCATTTGACTTTCATTACTACCTTCACTCACCAGGTCTGTACTCTTCCCGGGCTGAGTTGATTTGTATTTCAGTTTCAGCAGAAATTTGCAGTTTCTGTGTTACTTCCTCGGCAGTCTTCTTCGTGTTACTCAATACAATTATTAGACTCTCATCATCTGCCAGAGAACCCTTAGTGCTTGTAAGTCGGAACAAGAGATTATCTTCTAGGTCTTTAATACTCTTTTTGTTCATAGTCACATCTTCAATAAGATCTGTTCTTTCTTTCTCTAATTCCTGTTGGAATACGTGGTAATATTTGAGAAAGAGAAGAGTAGTTGGAAATAAAACCAAAATAAAGCAAGATATTTAGTTTTCAAAGTACTTATCCTACTAAAACAGTGTAGAGTCTTCAGGGAAAGAATTCCTGTGGTATTTCTGATGGGTATTTCTGAACCTGCTACATAAGTATGCATTAACAAATCATTTCAACAAATACTATGGAGCGTGTTCATATCATCCTTTAACAGAATTAGAAGTTCAGAATACTGATTGCTTTTCTTCTTTCTGTTTCAGAGAAAGATGAGTGCAAACACCTTTCCAGACACAGGATTTTATTTCACTCCATCTAACACCATCCTCATTTATGCACTGTTTCCCAATCACCATGTCGAATATATAGTCTCAATAACAATGAGCTTCCAGAGTCACCAAGTCAAGCATCAAGTATTTCAAGAAGTAATTCTAATAATACTCTTCCATCAAACAGGGATAACTTCAGTTTTCCACTAAAATGCTTCATTGACTAAGTAAAGAAATCATGTAGAACTCACATTGAGTTGCTTCACTAGAAGTATTTAGTTGGTTACTTTTAGTAATAGAAATAGGGTGGTTTATATATCTACTTTGTTTTCCAGTGGTCATATATGAAAGATGGATACCTGTTAACAGCTTTTCAGAGATTAAAGGCCTTTCAGTTCGTTCTTATGCTACTCTTTAAATTAAAATTTAAAACTCGTTACAAATAAATCCCTCAGATATAAAACTACTCCATTAAAGCAATACAGAATGGTTTTATACAATGAAGTAAGAAGAAAGAAAAAAGGAGAAGATGGGTTAAGAGTCTTTCATAAGGATAACATGCACCTGATGAATCAACAATAAGTGAGACAGTTGGTAGAAATATTAGCTATGTCTACAGAAGTACTCCTTCACTGTTTAAAAGGTCTGGTGGATTGTTTTAACTAAGCTGGAAGCTGCATATTCACTCCACCTTTGCCAATTCCACTTCAGCAGTGCACACAGGCTATTACTATTCCAAAGAAACAGAGAAAATACTAAGAAATACACGCTCTCTCATTTATCACCAGAGGCATTATGAACCTCAGACAAGGCTCAAAGAAAGGTTTTACTCCCTGTCATGGTTTAAGCCCAGCCAGTAACTTGGAACCACGCAGCCACTCGCTCACCCCCCGCTCTTCTTCCTCCCCCCTGCTCCTGGAGGGATGGGGAGGAGAATTAGAGGAATGTAATTCCCACAGTTTGAGATAACAGCACTCCAGTAACTAAGGTATAATACAAACCACTACTGCTACCACCAGTAATAACAATAATAAGGGAAATAACAAGGGGAGAGGATATAATTGCTCACCACCCACAGACCGATACCCAGCCTGACCCAAGCAGCAATCTGGGCCTTCCCGGTAACTTCCCCCAGTTTATATACTGGGCATGACATGCTATGGTATGGAATACCCCTTTGGCCAGTTTGGGTCAGGTGTCCTGTCTCTGCTTCCTCCTGGCTTCTCCTCCTCCCTGGCAGAGCATGAGACTGAGAAAGTCCTTGGTCAGAGTAAACATTACTTAGCAACAACTAAAAACATCGGTGTTATCAGCGTTGTTCCCAGGCTGGAAGTCAAAAACACAGCACTGCACCAGCTACTGAGAAGGATTAAAAACGACTGATGTAGCTGAACCCAGGACACTTCCCCATTTGAGTAGCCTTCATTTATACAATTTGCAACACTGTTAGAACTTCCGAAATTATTTTGGTTTTCCACATTCTAAACTAGTGGTTTTCTCACTTTCACATTCTGCTAACATTCCTAACTATTTCAAACATTTCAGACTTGCAAAAAAGTCCTTTTATCTTAGAAAAGAAATTTAAAAAAATCATCTTCAGCTTATTATCAGATTTAGGTTCTTATCTTGTCACTGCACAAAAGGCATATTGAAACACCCGCATCAGGTAGAAAAGATTTATTGGGACCGTTATCATAGAATAATGCAAATGTCATATAACTTAGAAGACATGCATACAGATTCAAAAGATTCTGAAAAAAACTGATGAAAAAAAATGACCAGAAAACTACAGTTAGCTCCATTTCAATCAACTGATGCTTAATGGAAATAAAGAAAAGCAGGTCGCAATTATGAAGCAACACAAGCATTAGGTAAGTTTGACGAAGCAGAAACAATTTTTAGAGGTGTAGCATTAAAAGAATGTTAGCATCCAATTAAATATAATAATTATCATGTTGAGAAATCATTCTGAGTCAAATTAAATTTTGCGTTTTGCAGAGTTGTTTAAGAGGTTAAACATATTTTACAGTGTAATGTATTTAAAAAACAGAAAGCTAAGTTTTCCTCACAAGAAGATCCTGAGAAACAAGTTAGAAACAGAATAACTAAACTAAAGCAAGTAAAGTATCCTGAGATGAAATCCTTAGTGAAAAATGCGTCTATTCAGCTTTTAAAATACTTTTTGCAGATCAGGAAGGGTACACAGTTGGAATTTTTCTGCATGTCTTCAAAAATTTCCAGTCATAACATCAAGGATTAAAAAATATTTAAAAAGAAAAAAACAACAAACCAAAACTAAGCCAAGTTACAATATACATAAATTCAAGGAATTTGCACCAGAGGCTATTTCAAATCCAGCTTTATGTTATTCATTTTTATAAGCTGATTTCATTTTACAGGCTGTACCAAAGAATGCTAGATCCTGTTAATATTCATAAAATATACGTCCTGGTTTCAGCTGGGATAGAGTTGTTTTTCTTCCTAGCTGCTACATAACTTTCATCATTCTATCACAAAATTATTCACAAGTACAAGAATTTGCATCAACATTTACAAAACTTGAGCCTTTTTCCACCACAAATCTTGAAATATGAATGTGAAATTCAAAAAGCCATAAACAGTTCTTTTATAACTCCACTACTAACCTGACATATCTATTTCTACAAGACTGAGTTACATAACAGTTAATGTATCAAAATAATCATATCATTAAAACAGTCTAAGTTATACTATATTCAAACATAAATCTAATCCCTTTAATCAAATTATTCCAAGAAATACAGTAGCATTAAATTTATACAGATATACCAGCTACCCTTTGATGTTTTTATGCTTAGCTCACGTCTTGCAAATTGGTTAAACATTCTGGTGGAAAAGAAGAAATCAGTACCAACATTCTTATCAATAATCAGTCAACTCTTTGAAAGGTATGCTATACACACTCTACCAGTAGGCATACCAGACAATACAGGAACAGAAAGTTAAACTTTGCAGAAACTTTAAATGATGTGCTGTAAACACTCCTTACAGAATAATCATAATAAAGAGATTCAGACAGTTACCTTGTAATATGGGATTAGAGACTAACAAATTGAAAGGAGAGTAAACCCTTCTACAGGTAAATGTAAGATATATTAGCCAGGAAAAAGATACAATTATTTATTTTACCTGTTTCTCCGTGAGAATGACTCTGCCCAAGAGTTGATTTTCAAGACCTTTCATGGTCACAGTAAAGTCAATGATGGATGTTCGAGCACTAATTTCAGGAGAGTAACCTGGATTTGGCAGTTTTGTAGTGATGTAAAGTCTGAAGCCTTTCATAACATCTACTTCCTTATCACCAACCTTCACCTTTAGAAAAGTATTAAAAAGAAGCCTTGACATATCAAGAACCAGTAGACACTCT